TAGTAAGTGTTGTGTGTCTGATGCCGGATTTGAACTCAGGTCGTCCTGAATCCAGGGCCGGTGCTCTATCCACTGCGCCACCTAGCTGCCCCATGTGACTGTTATTGTTTACAACATTCTCTTGGTTCTGCCTACTTCACTCAACATCAGACCATACAAGTCTTTCCGAAGTCAGCCTGTTCATCATTTCTTATAGCGCAATAGTATTCTATTACATTCATATACCACAGCTTGTTCAGCCATTCTCCAGTTCATGAGCATCTTCTCAATTTCCAATTCTTTGCCACCACAAAAAGAGCTGCTGTGTATATTTTTGTACATGTGGGTCCTTTTCCCATTTGTATGATCTCTTTGGGATACAGCCCTAGAAATACTATTGCTGGATCAAAGGGTGTGAACATTTTTGTAGCCCTTTGGGCATAGTTCCAAATTGCTCTCCAAAATGATTGGATCATTTCACAACTCCACCAACAAGGCATGAGTGTTCCAATTTTCCCACATCCTCTCCAACATCTATCGTTTTCTTGTTTTGTTGTCTTGGCCAATCTGATAGGTGTGATGTGGTACCTCAGAGTTGTTTTGATTTGCATTTTTCTAATCAATAGTGATTTAGAGCATTTTTTCATATGACTATAGATGGCTTTAATTTCTTCATCTGAGAACTGCCTGTTCATATCCTCTGACCATTTATCAATTGGGGAATGACTTGTATTGTTATAAATTTGACTTAATTCTCTATATATTTTAGAAATGAGGCCTTTATCAGAAAGACTGGTTGTAAAAATTCTTTCCCAGTTTTCTGCCTTCCTTCTAATCTTAGTTGCATTGGCTTTGTTCAGAAATTTTTAATTTAATGGCTAAATTGTTTTTAAAGGAAAATTGTTAGTACCCCAGGGACAAATGTTAAGTAAGTCTTTATAAAGAGATAGACAATTAAAGAATTCTGTGTCTGCCCAATTCTTGAAATTCAGCTACTAGAATCAAAAACAAAGGAGAGCTGGTCTTATCTTCCTGTGAGTTCCCTGTTTCTGGAGTTACTTGAAATAGAAACTTCTTTGATGGTCTTACTTCTAATTTTGATGTTTGTTTCTGTTGGAGACAAATCTGGAGACAGATTTTAAAACATTTTATTTTGGTTTTTACTATTTGTTGAATCTTATATTCTGTTTTTTTTTAAAGAAGGTATGAAGCTCATTGGTCAATGTTTTACATGTAAAAGTGTGCATATTTTAATATTATTCATCATTTTTGTAGCTAACTTAGCTCTCTAGTTAGTTTTGGAGTCATTATAACTGCAAAACCAGCAGAGGGGGCTCAGGAATTCCTCAGACTCAGTGATAGTACTGGCTGTAGTACTATTTTAAAAAATTGGTCCAAAGATTTGTAAGTTTAGTGATTGAATTTTCAGTGGTGTTTTCTCAGCATATGTGAGATTGTGCATATCAGAAGCCTGTTAGATTAATTCTCTATCTTAATATGTACAATACTAACTTTTGTTTTTTAAATCATTCTAGTTCACAGGGAACATCTGGAGGTATTTCATTCTGTGTTTTTAGTTTACTGAAAGCCTTATGTTTGGTAAGGAATAGTTTTCTTTATTTCCAGAAGTATTTAGGCATGTGTTAAGTAAGACCATATCCTTATTTCCAGAAGTATTTAGGCATGTGTTAAGTAAGACCATATGATTCTTTGAGGTAGGAAGTAGTAATTTGTTAAGCTAAGCAGCAAATATTTTGTGAGGATGGTTTCCATTTACTCCTAAAAAAAAAAAGGCCACTCAGAAATAGAACTCCAAGCATCCTGAATTACTACATAAGGTATTGCGGACATTGTGAAAGTCAGAGTATTGAGGAAAATTGACATGTTATCTTTATCCTTTTATTGTGAATATTGGGAAAAAATAAGAGGAAAAAGTTACTCTCCAGTGAAACAAGAGTGGATGAGAAATTAAGTGTTCAGTTTCAAAGCTTACTTTCACGTCCTTTATTTTGATGACTTTATGAGTACTTCTGTTTGATGTGGGCAATTCCTCCTCCACTGACATAGATTGCAACTTGTTTATACCTTCGTATGCTGTACGATTCTTGTATTTTTCTTATATCTTCCACTGAGCAACCGGTCAGTGTGCTTGAGGCCTTCTATTGGTCTTTTAATACTTTGTGGGTAGCAGTGTGTAGTATTGTCAGGCTGTTAACCCTTTTCCTCCTCGTGATCAGCCCACCTGCTTTTGGCATCGTGGAAAGAGCACTGGATCCTGAGTTGGAGAATCTGGGTTCAGATGTCACCTCTGATGTTTACTTACTACTTCTGTGACCCTGGGCCTCATTTCCTCATCTGGTAAACGAGGGAGTTGTATTAGATGGTGTCTGAGCTCTCTTCCAGCTCTAAATCTATGATCCTTGTTCTTGATATCCTTTATAAAACTTTGCACATTTAAGTCCATTATTGGTAAATAGCAGTTTACTTATTGCCAATGTGCGTGTTCCCTGGGATCTTCGGTCTCTTGCAATTTTGATTCTTCTGGGGTTGCAGTGTGCCATTTGTGTCTAGATAGCATTAGCATTCTGGAGATAGTATTATGTTAAAAACTTGAAATTTTGCAGCATAGAGATGGCTTAAGATCAGCAGAAGCACTGTACAGTTTCCCAAATGTGATCCAGCTGATGCGTTCCAATTCTGGGCACAGTTCGCTGTGTGTAGTGCTTTTCTGTGTGATATGCACTGATGGGCGTGTCACAATCTGAGGGTTATATGTTTGGTTTTTTCCTCTACATATTGCTAAGCTTATCTATTTTGTTTGGCTGTTTTTTCCATTAAGGCCCAGTAGTATTCTAGAATTTATGAAATCATCATTATGTCACCTGCAAATAGGAACATAAGGAGAATTTCTTTGTTCTTTGTTCTGCTTGAACTTTATGTAGGATGTTGATAGCTATATATCTCCTCATTTTATGCCTTGCTTGATAATCATATACAGAGGATTGTTGAGCAAAGTTATCTGTGTGATTGCATCGTGGACTAGATATGCAGCCTGATATGAGGTCACAACCCACAGTTTAAGAAGCACTGAAGGGGTCCCAAATTCCTCATCTATAAGGAGATGACGAGTTCATCCTACAAACAGAACACATTTCCACCAGAGGAATGAGAGAGTAGTGATGGGGGATTTAATTATTCAGACTTTTGCTGGAGTTCTTTTTCTCTGCAAAAGGCAAAGTAACCTGTAACTTCTTGACTTGCCTGAAAGAACATTTCATCCTTCAAAAGGTAGAGGAACCAATAAGGAGAAGTCCTGTTTTGGATCTGATTCTTCTTAACAGATATAAACTGGTTGTGGAATTTACATTAGATATGGACCCTTATTATCCTACTTGCATCAGTGTGGATGAAATGCCTACAGTGTGCAAAGCACTGCTAGCACATTGTTGTATCTTGCTGACTTGTTCAAAGTAACAGATTCTTCTCATTTAATTTAATTTAAATGATTCTTATTTAATTTTTCAGACTTTTATTATTTTTTAATAAATAAAAGGGTTTAATGAACCTGACTTCTTGCTGTGAAATTGATAGTCAAACACAAACACATTTTCATTTACTACTGGCTATATCAAAAGGGTTTTACCTTAACAATGATGGGAATAGAAGGGAAAGCAAAATCTGTTCTGTCTTTAGCATAACCTTTGATTTTTTCATAAAGGTAGCAACAGTTGAATACTTTCATAATGAAGTAATCTCAGAAAAATATAACTTGAAATCCTAATTTTTATGTTAATTAAATTATTTTTCATTTTTAAACAACTCTTTTATATAGTTTATTGGAAGAGGTGAAAATTAATTGTTTTTAGCCTTTGTAAACTGCAGCACCTTTTGATTTTCCCTCAGAACTACATTTCCCAGATTAAGTTCAATTTAGATTTTTGTTAAGGACCCTAGTCTAGGTGCTAGGGGAACAAGAATTAGAAACTGATATGTTGGCTACTCTTGGAGCTTCATAATGTTGAGAATTCTTTTTTTTTTTATTAATTTATTTTTAGTTTTCAACATTTACTTTCATAATATGCTTTTGGACTTTAAATTTTCTCTACCTCCCTTCTCACCTCCCTCCCCAAGATGGCATGCAATCTGATATAGACTCTACATATACACTCCTATTAAACATATTTTCACATTAGACATGTTGTAAAAAAGAATTAGAAGCAATAGGAGGAACCACAAGAAAGAAGAAACAAAACAAACAGAAGAGAAGAGGAAAAAAAAGAGCAAATAGCATGCTTCCATCTGCATTCAAACTCCATAGTTCTTTCTATGGTTGTGGATAACATTTCCCATCATGAGACTTGTGGAGATGTCTTAGATCCTTGCATTGCTAAGAAAAGTTAAGTCTATCAAAGTCAGTCATCGCACAACATGGCTATTACTGTGTACAGTGTTCTGGTTCTCCTCACTTCACTCAGTATCAGTCCGTGTAAGTCTTTCCAGGTTTTTCTGAAGTCTGCCTGCTCAACATTTCTTATAGCACAATAGTATTCCATTACATTCATATACCACAATTTGTTCAGCCATTCCCCAGTTGATGGGCATCCCGTCAGTTTCCAATTCTTTGCCACCACAGAAAGAGCTACTATAAATATTTTTTGTACATATAGGTCCTTTTCCCATTTTTATGATCTCCATGGGATACAGCCCTAGAAGAGCTGGGTCAAAGGGTATGCACATTTTTATAGCCCTTCATGTTGAGAATTCTTGCAGCAGCAGTTTTCTTTAGGTATTTATTAAAGTCTTGTCCTTGATAAATGTAATACAATGGGACAGACATTTTCTTTTGTCATTACAACATCTGTAGAAACAGGATTTAATTAATTTTTTGGGAGCAAGGTGCTTATGAATGTTTATTCAGAGGTGGAATGAGAGTGAACCGGAAAGGCAGACACACAGTTTGACTGACTCCAGCATCCCGCAGGACCTATTAGAGTATGTTTAAAATGTTTCTTTTTTTTCAGTGGCCGAAGGATCTGATTTGCCCCAGATGAACCCCGTATGACTGCTTTTGTCCAGAGAGGCATCATGTGCTTTCTTGGTCCTGTCTTCTGTATGTAGTATTCTTGAGTAGTACTTAATACACTTCTGTCTAGTGGATTTCTTATTTCTACTGTTTGAAGTCGTAGTTCACCCCTCCTCATTGCAGCTTGATATCAATTACAAGGGAAAAAAATAGCTGCTTAAAACCTAGGGATAGCCTTCATTATATATTTACCGTGTCCAGGTTGGTGAGGAATTTTGTGACTGTATCAGTTTAGGTTAATTTTAGAGTTCATTAAGTTGTAACCTAGAATAGCAATGTGGAACAGTGGTTTGGTGGGGGAGGGGAACTTATTTTTATCTGGTGCTGTTCTTATATATAATATAACCTTGTTATAAAGGTTATATCAAAATAGGTTGTTTAGAATAGACTATACTAATGGCCTTTCCCTCCAAATTACCAGCAATTCCTGGGAAGGATATTAGTCATAACTTTAGAATCATTTTAAAAGGGATGTTGGTTTTGTTCTCTTCCTGATTCCATCTTTCAACTTAGTAGCAGCAGCTAATTAGATCCACTCTCTTTTACTGCCTTTTTAGTCTTTCTCAGGCTTGAGGTTAGTTTTTACTAATTGATAAAGATGAACAAAATTACAGTTTGCTGAAATTGTGGTGTATTTTCGTACCACACGGTTGAGTTTATCATGTTTTCCACTGAAATCTGGTAATTTTGATGGAGATCAGAATTTGAGTTTATGATTCTTGACAGGCTTCTTTAAATACTAGTTTGTGTATTGGAGCTGAAGTATTGATAAGTATCAGAACTTCTGAACCACCTTGTGGGGCAATAGAGAGAATTCTGGATCAGGAATTCAGTCCATCTCTTGTCATTTACTCCTTGTTGTGACCTTGGGCAAATCAGTCCCCATGTGGTTGGGGTTAAACTGGATGACTTTTTCTACTCTCAACCTAGGCCTATATATGAATTGACCCCCCACCCCCACCCCCCAACCAGAGCATAACATAACACTTGCATAATGTGTTTCTTATGAATGAATTTATGTAGGTTATTCTCAAGTCTGTCAAGTTAATGTGCATAAAAATGTGTATATGTATTGTGTATAAAATACCATGTACAGAAATACACTTCAGCAGGGCGGACTGGAGTAGTGAGGCAAGATACAACAGCAAGCAACCAGTTATATACCCTTAGACAAACCACTCCAAGAAACCCCCTTCCCCACTTGATTACCTCAATCTATTTATCCTCATTGTTTGAGGCAAGAGACCTTACAATCTATATTTAGAACCCAAGAGATACATTTTACCGAAACCAAGCTTAGAAGCTGGAAGATTGCCTTATTTGGTAAGGATAAGGCTGGGGTGATGGTAACAAAACAAGGGAGGGGGTGGGCAGCTGGTGTATGACCCTGTTATATGATTTACAGGAAAACTAAACTTAGGCCCAGCCAATGCTGAAGCCTTAACTAAATTTTTGGGGCATAGCTTCCATTTCATATGAGAAACTTTCACTTGTCCCACACAGAGGTGACACCTGAGATATACTTAAGGTTTTTGTGATGTGGATTTAAGGAGAGAATATGGTCTGGATAGTGGGGACAACTTAAGCAAAGGGAGGGAACTGATATTCAATATCATATAGTGGTAATGACCAGTAGGCCAGATTGACTAGAGCAAGAAATTGTGGGAAATGGAATAATATGAATGAAACAAGACCAGAAAGATAGATGGGATCCAGATTGTGGAAGTCTTTAAATATTTGGTTGAGGATTTTGTATTTTGTCCTGGATGCAATAGTTATTAAAGATTTTTTAATAAATGAGTGGGGCGACATGATCAGATCTGTGTTTTAGGAATATCAATTTGGCTACTGTGTTGAGGATGTATTGGGGAGGAAATTCATTCAGAGGCTTTGTAATAGTCCAGGTGAAGAAGTAATGAGGGCCTGAACAAGAGTGGATAGAAAACTATTCATGGGGAGAAGTGACAGATGTGAAAGATGTTGCAGTGGTAGAATTAACAAGATTTGGAAATGGATTAAGATATGGGAGACAAGAGAAAGGGAATAGTTAAGGATGATGTCAGGATTGTGAAGCAAGGTGATTAAAAGGTTGGTACCATCAAAAGAAAAATTGGAGGTTTTGGACATGATTATGCATTGGAGATGCTAGCAGTGACATTTAGGTGGCAACTAGTAATGCTGTCTAGAGTTCAGGACAGAGACGGCATATTTGTTTGTCACCTGCATAGAAATAAATTAAATTCATGGCAGCTGTGAGAAATAACTCATTTAGACTCAGGAAGGATGAAGTTAAAAGCCCAGTTAATTATGCAGTTTCAAAAGCAGATATCCACACACACCCCCACACACCCACACCCACACCTACACCCTCGCCATACACCCCCAGCAAGAGTTTACTATTTGTAATCCCGGCCACAGCTTTCCAGCACACCTATTGCGCATCTGCTCCTTGACATGTCCTCCCTCCTCCTGTATACATCACATGTTCAGAAAATGGTGTCTTAATGCCGCCTGCAGGTGGAGAAGTTAGTATTTATGAACCTATTGAGGATGAGCACTCCAAGTAAAGCTTAACCTTTGCCCTCCTTACTGACTTCTACCAGCCAAATGGCTCTCAATTTCTCTCTCTTTTAATGTGGGTTTTGTTTCTGTAATTTCTTATTTTCCTTATTAACTCTTTTCTCAAAATTTTCAAGAAGTTTTAAACATTCTTTCTCCTCTTTTCCTTCTCTAGGACTGGGTTTTCTTTTTACTACCATAATTGAGACATCTTGCTCTGTCTTTTTAGGTAACATGACAACTTGCATCCCCCTCTACTACATGTGAAATAAGGCTTATCAGGCAAGGAATCAAGCAAAGTATGAATAATCCCCCTAATCCTAACAGAATTTCATTCCAAGTTGCTTTCTCCATGACCCTGTCAGCTAATTAAACCAGTTTGAGTCAAACCGTCCTTTCCACTTTTGAACTGGCACATGTACCACTTGACGAATTTTTGTAGCCAAATTTTTAACTATCTGTCTGTTATTGTCAGTTTTTAGACAGCCAGTTACTTGAGTTTTAAACTCTTTGTTAAGGTAGGGGTCTGCTTCCAGTGTAGAGAGTGTACTGTCCCAAGCTTCAGGGAGTTTGTGTAGCTGTTTTCAGAGCTACTTGTAGGGACCTGTAAATTTTCAGTTCTTCCAAGGTGGAACAATCAAGGGTGAGGTGTTTACTCCTTTTCTGGCCTGTGCTCCGGTCTGTGAGTTACCACAAGCACTCTTTTCTGCCTTGAACCTGTAAGGAGGAGTCCCTCTCCACAGTCAGCACAAGCTCGCCACCATGCCAGTGCTCCTCTTCTCCCCAGGACCGCCCCCCAGAACTGTGACCCAGATCCAAGCACGGGCAAAGCAAGAGATTCCTGCCTCAGCACCAGCAAAGAGATCCCTGCAGTCCCCCTCGGAGCAGCCACTCAATTTCCCCTCTGTCCAGGGGCCAAGAGCTCCGGAAGCAGTCACCCGGGGGCTGCGCCAGAACTGGGGCTGGAACCAAGCTTCTCTCTCACCGCAGTCACAGACCTTTCCTGCTGACCCTCTAAGTTATCTTTAGCATTTGTGGGTTGAGAAGTCTGGAAACTGCCACAGCTGCCCCTGATTCAGTCCCCTGAGGCCTGCTTCAGGTTCCCTGAGACCTTGTTTTTGCCTGTGTGCCCATGCTAAACTGCCCTTCTCTCCCAGCCTGATGCAGTAGACCTTTCCAATCAACCATCCAGGTTGTCTTGGGCTGGAAATCTGTTTCACTCTGTCTTTTTGTGGGTTCTGCTGCTCTAGAATTTGTTTAGAGCCATTTTTTATGGAGGGGTTTGGAAGAGAGCTCAAGCAAGTCACTGCTTTTACTCTGCCATCTTGGCTCCCCCAACTATGTTTTTCTGCTTGGTCCCAGAAACCAGTGCCGTTCCTTACCTCTGACTGGTTGCTGAGTATCCAGGCCAGACTCAAAGGTACTAGGTACCATGGCCACAATTCCACTGTTTCAGGGCCTCCATAGACCCAACAACCACTCAGGTTGAAAGTGTTAGCCACTATTTAGGCTAGCTGTAAAAAGGCATTAGGGAGCAATGGGAGGAGGCACAGGATGGGCTGTACCAGGGAGGATTAGGACTGCTATTACTAAATATGACAACGGAAGCATTTGCTGTGGTTCTATCATGTAGGTACCTTTTGATTAAGTCAAAGATACTTTCTCACTGTTTGTTTGGTTATTTTTTGGTAGGTCACCCAATAATTTTCTCAGGGAATATAGCTATTCTTATAATTCCTTATACTACATACAGGAGCCCCACACTTATCATCCCTAACTAGCTCCTTCAATAAAAGGGATCCCTTTCCTAATCTCTTCTCTAAGTTTCTTACCAGTAGCCAGCAAGAATATTACTACAAGTATATGAAACAATAATATAAGCACAAGGATGATCAGTCTAAAGTCTTTTGACATCCCTTCCCTTCCCAGCGCAAAGTAACCTTTAATGGATCAGGGCAACTTTTAACAGTCCATTCCCGGGGTTCGTCCACTGGTCCTTTGACTCTGGTATAATATGCCCACCCCTTCTTGGTTGTCCAGATTGCTGTTTCTATAGTTAGCAACCCTTGGTAGGGTCTTTCCTAGTCAGGGTGAAGTTTGATTTCCTTCCAGGATTTGAGCAGCACCCAATCCCCTGGTTTGTACTTATGCACTGAGAATTCCAGTGGTGGAGTCTGAGTCCTTTCTTCCTCAAATCTGAAAATATATACATAGTTCCTCAAAAATCTATCTTTTGTCTCAAAAGTAGGGATGTCTTCCTGCCCTCCTAGATAAGGTTACCCAAATGTCATTTCATAAGGCGATAAACTTCAACCCATTCAGTTAAATGGTCTGCTAAAACCAATGAATATTTAAGTCTCCCTACTTTTGCATTTTGGTAAAATCTGCTTGTATACTTTGAGACCATCTAAAGCCAAGCTCTCCCTCCTTGCTTAGTTTTGGGGAGAGGGAATGCCACAATTCCCTTA